CCTGAGAAATAGGTATTATCCCTATTCTACAGGAAAATGAACATCAGGGTTCAAAGACTTGTCTAAAGACACCGGGCTCAGAAGTGGCAGACTTTGGAATCAGCAGGACTCCAAAGCTCTTTGTTAATCCAAGACTATACCACCTCCCAAAACCTGTAACTAGATTTCTAACACCTACAAAGGACACACAGGCAAGGGAGACATGTGAATATTTATAAACAGGGGAGTCACTGGTCTGATAAAACCTAACAGGCAGAGGCACCGACTTTAACCCTCTGGTTGCTGGGTCACAGGGGCTGTGTTAGAAGGGAAAGGACTGTCCTAGGGCAAGTCCAAGGGCAGCCAGAGCAAACGGGAACAGGGGCTTGGGGCAGGATGTCAAACTCTGAACAATCAGGATGGCCTTGCCAGTGCATACTAGCTGGGTGTGCAAGCATGCATTTCTAGAAAGGTTAAGGTCAGAACCACAGGAATTTGGCTTCCACATTTCAACCAAGGCTTAACAACAACTCATTACCAAGTGACTCCCAGCTCTGCCACCAGCATCATCATCTAGTAGAGAAAAGACCCAACAAAAGCCTCCCCAGAGGTAGCGCTCTGGCAAAGCTGACTCTGATACCAAGAGAACTCACTGCCTTTGATGTTTCAGTCCAGCTGAAATGTACCAGTCTCCTTTCTGCCCTCTCTCAGAAACAAGAAGAGGGTAGCAGGAAAGGAAAGAAGAAAGAGGGAAAAGCAGGGAACACAAAAAGACCCAGTGTTCACTGCAGACCTCCAAAGGAAACCAGCCCTGGCACAGTTCAAAAAACCCACCATATTCTACCATTTTGCACAATTTAGTCTTGGCTGCAACTTAATCTACTGATGGCCTAACAGGGTGGATTTGTAAGACCCAGAAAGGAACACGCCAGTATGGATTGAAATCAGTCAGGCTTTTAAGACCAGACATTTGCCGGGGGGTGGGGGTGGGTAGAGCAATCAAGCCACGGTTCTTCCTAGGCTCTACGCCCCCCATCCTTTTTTACCGCCTTCTTCTTATAAACAATGTCAAACACTAATAAGTTTTACTTAGTTCTCTCACTGCATTTGGGAAATGTGTATCCTTGTTCCTTCAAGTAATTTTTTCTATCCCATTCTCCCTCTTCTCTTTCCGGAACTTCAATTACATTCAGAGTATAGACATTTCTTAAAGTGTCCCCCAGGTCTCTGACGTTCTGTACATTTTTGTTTCAATCTCTTCTCTCTGTTCTTCTGATTAGATCATTCTTATTGATCTAAAAGTTCAGTGATTCTTTACTGTTATCTCTGTTCTGTTAAACTTACCTGAAATAAAAATTTTCCAGAATATTTTTTTTTTGCAGTTTCTGTTTCTGCACTGATTTTGTAACGTTTCATTACAAGTAAGTCTTCCTGTACATAACTGAGAATAGTAATAATAGCTGCTTTTAAATCTTTACCCACTAAATCCAACATCTGAGTCATCTTTGAATCAATCTCCGTTGATTATATTTCTCTTGAGAATGGGTCATGTTTTCCCGTTTCTTCCTATTTTTTTTAAGATTTGTTTATTTATTTACTTGAGAGAGAGAGCACACGCAGGTGCAGAGGGAAAGGAAGAAGGGACAGAGTCTTAAGCAGACTCCATGCTGAGTGTGAACCCCCACACGAGGCTCGATCTCACGACCTTGAGGGCCATGACATGAGCTGAAACCAAGAGTCGGACACTTAGCCAACTGCACTACCCAGGTACCTGCTTCTGCATATTTTGAGGAATTTTAGATTGTACCCTGGATATTGTGGCAACACTGGATTGTTCTATCCTCCAAAAAACCTTGATTTTGTTTGTTTGTTTGTTTTAGCAGGCAGTTAGCTGAACTAAGATGTCCAACTTCTGCCTCTTAGATGGCAGGTCCAATCTGCATTCAGTTGAAGCCTTAGCTTGGCTGCCCCATTCATGTAGAGATCACCCAAATATTCAATGATTATTCCTGGAAGGTGAGAATATGGCTAATTTTTATTTTTCTACTTCATATTCTAAAATGTCCTTAATGAGCTGTGTTCTACATATTTCCGAATTCCCATCATAAACATATTCAAAAAAAAAAACAGAATAAAGGAGATACTTTCAAAGAATACTTAGAAGTTAGTTGTTGTTGTTTTTTTCACCGCAGCTTAAGGCAGATGCTTCATCCCCTGATGGGACCTGCTTCTATTCAGCCAACATTCAAACTCTTTTCATGATACTCTGGCTTAGGAACGTCAAAAAAGAAATTCACTACACTTTACCAATGCAGTCACAGCTCAGCATCACCCTCCAATAAGGGTTGGAGCTCTCTATGTGAAGACAGATTCAATAAATGGAAGAACCTAAAATAAAGGCAAATCTGTTTGTTTGTCACCAGGCAACAGATGTCTACAAAGGAAAAGGACTAAGGAAGCAGGTGTGCCCACAGGCAGTGACTTACAGACCACTGCGAGGAGCCAGGCGCTACAACCAGACAGCACAGAGCTGACGCACACAATCTCTACCTACTTCTACCACAGCTCCAATGCTGCACACTGATGAGCAGATTCAACCTCGGGCTTCCCAAAAGAACAGTAGATCCTCTCTTCAAAAAAAAATAAATAAAAAACCTTCAATGGGTCCCCTAACCCTTATTTTTAAAAAAGCCTCGCAAAGCCAAGAATAGGTTTCCTTCAATTTCATATCCTCCAAAGCACCTGACATGGTCCCACACCACAGCAGGCCCTCAACAGTGGTGAGAACAAGCATTCACTTTCGAGGTCAACTGGACTGAGGTCAGAACTTTGGTATGCCTCTTACTTTCTTATTTTAGAGGAGTTACTTCTAAGGACTGACAAAAAATGCAGATATAGAAGAGACTCCTTCCATGAGGTCTGGAGCAATTCACTTAACCTCTCTGAGCTTCAGGTCCCTGGTCAGTAAAAAAGGGATCATACCTTTCTCACAACACTGCTGGGAGGATTAAGCAAGAAAACGTAAGTAGAATGCTTAGCTACACTCAGGCCTGGCGCACCAGGGATAATAAATTATCGCCATTACTGTGACAGTAGCAAACAAACTTGGAAATACCTCCCCGGAACCCAGAACCTCATGGAACTTCTGGGGAAGGTTCATGAGCTCAACGAGAGCTCGGAGCGAATAGTTCTGCATGAGCTGACTAGACCCAGGGCGGGTTTGAGAGCTGCTAATTGAGCAATCAGAAAATGGAACGTGAGGGCAGCGAGTCTCCTATAGACTCTGAGGTAGTACAGTCCTTAGTATCTGGATTCTGGTTAAGGAGGAGTGGTCAGGAATTGGTTTCATCTCTAACACCTTATGAATAGTCATCTCCAACTCAAAGCAGAAAGGCCTGTTTAACTAAAATGTTCAGTGTATATATCCGTGTGACTAAACAATTAAACAGTTCTGATTTTGCTTACAACAAGAAGGACGATCTTACAACAGTTTAGAATATAAAAGCAGAAAGTGTATGCTTCTTTGCTCTCCAAATGACCTGAAGCTTGGAAAAATGCCATGCACTACAAAAAGGGCTTTTCTGGTTTTCTAGGTTTGAGGCAAGACAAATAAGGAAGATCTAAGACCTACTGCTCAGGATGGTGGTATACAAAAAGAAGTACATAAAAGAGTCCCTTATCTGTTTTATTTCCCCCTTTTCTCCAAGGAGAATGAACTTCAGACTACATGATGTAGAATGAATAACAGCAAAGCAAAAATTAACAGCCCAAGACCTGGAAAACTCTGTCAGAGTTTCCAACTTAAAGGAGTTTGTCCCAGGCCAGAAAGAGATTTACTTCCTGAGTCCCAAAAAATTATGCAGGCATACAAGAGACAGAAGAATATAAAGGGACAACAGCAATTTGCAGTAAGAGAGTAGATTCCATCAACTGTGATCTATTGAGTTTTATGTCAACATCAGCCACAAATCGTTAAAAGGATGCTTTCTGAGCCTTCCAAAAGGAAATAATCTAAAAACCCAGCATACATCCATGTATAAAACATTCCAAGACAGAGCTCTTTCTTTCTTTTTTGTTTTTAAGTAACTTTTTCACTCCAAGGGATTGAGAATATGTCGATTTCAACAGAACACCTGTCTAAATCTCCCATGATATTGTTGTGAAGGAAGTAAAGAAACGTGGTTTAAGGGGCACCTGGGTGGCTCAGTCGTTAAGCGTCTGCCTTTGGGGCTCCCTGCTCTGCGGGGAAGCCTGCTTCTCCCTCTCTCACTCCCCCTGCTTGTGTTCCCTCTCTCGCTGAGTCTCTCTCTGATAAATAATAAAATCTCAAAAAAAAGAAACATGGTTTAAGAGGAGGTGGTAGCCTCAGATTCAAGCACGTATGACTAAAATTCTCCCTCCCCCAGCACATGCCACTGTCTGTGCTTCTAGGGTAATGCATGTTGTTTGTTTTTCTAGGAATTTGGGGAAGCACTGTGGAAGGGGTGGAAATATGCCCCATTCCCCACTGCTGCCATCCTCAATCCTATCACAGTTTCAACAAGAAAGCAAAATGAGGAACTGATGGGTATCGCTAAGAAACAAGGTCTCTATTACAGGCATCTACAACTCCTCCCCACTCTACACACTCATTCCAAATCTGATGAACACTTTTACCAAGATCTTGAAAAATCCAACAATAAAATGATCAAATATACAGACTATCTGAGGTTCATTAGGAATACTAATATACTGAAAGTAAGACTGAGGATCCAGGGGCACCTGGCTAGCTCAGTCAGTGGAGCATGACTCTAGATCTCAGAGTCATAAGTTTGGGAGGGAGGGAGGGAGGGAGGGAGGGAGGGAGGAAGATTGAGGATCCAAAAACCCTGAAAGGCTAAGAAAAATGTACCAAGGATGTACATGAGGTGACCCAGGTGCCAAGATGAAATTATATATGGATATAAATGAATCCTACAGGTCTCTGTCAACATCCAAATGGATACAAGAAACCTATCTTATCAGCATATGCAGAAAGAGACCTGTGACTTTTGGTAGCCAATAATCACTCCTCTGTCAGTAAGATGAATTAGGGTTCTCAGGTCAAAGAAGGGGATAGTCTGGCTCAATATCTTGAGAGCTGTTAGGAGACAAAAGAAGAAAAGGGAAATGAACTTTAGAGAGCTCAGATGAGTTATTCAAGATAAAACGGTTATTAAATATGAGAACAGGGTGATAGCTCAGGGGGGTATGTAGGGTTTCCCTTTGAGGTGAGGAAAATATTCTAAAATTGACTGTGGGTCATCACTGCACAACTCTGAATATCCTAAAAGCCACTAAATTGTACACTTTAAACAGATAAATTATTTGGTATATAAATTATATCTCAATAAAGCCTTTAAAAAAATCATCAAACCCAGGTCCATATCCTTTCCATCTTATTGAAGAATTCTTATTTTTTAAACAAATCTATTATTTAAAAAAGCAAATCGGAGGTTCTGTCCTTTTATGACTACACATTTACTTTTTTGGCCTAACCCACTCCCCATTCCTTCCTTAAAGTTCAGAAAGCAGGATAAAGAACATTAAGTCCTGTCAAGTAGCACACCAAAACCAATGAAGTCACGGAAACTATGGCTCAAGTCTTCCCACATGTTGTTTGATTTGGCACTGACTTTGCTCCAAAACAAAAAGAAAATCTCGTTTACCTGACTTCCATTTGCAAGGGTACGACCAACTTCCACAGTCTACAACAGCATTATCCGACCCACAGATTAAGCAGAAGGCCCACTGTCTGAGGTCATCAGTCTACATTAGCCCCCCCAACTCCCCTTCTCTGTGTTCATTACAGAATTATGGTTATTTCTATCCAGGCCACACAATTTTGTACTTTATACACATCAGAATGCCTCTTCTGTGACCTCTAAGTACCTAAAGCTCTCACATTCACTCAACATACAATCACAGAGCTCGTGTTACATGCTAGGAGCCATACAGGGTACTGCGGAGACAATGCGGAGTCCTCTGAGGGTTTAGCCTGCACTCTCAGAGGGCTTACAGTCTAGTGAAGGACAAAATCAAGTCAGCACACTAATAAACAGAAAACCATAACAACATTACAATGAGGTGGTATCATGAAAACAAATAGCAGGGAGACTTTACCTGTTTGGGGAAGTCAAGGAAAAGCTTCCCCCAAGGAAGCAACTATTTGAGCTGAGAGCTGAGAAATAATAGTCAAAGAGAAGAATCCTTGAGGTACAAAGACCCTAACAAAGTAGGTGAATAGGAAGGATTAAAAGAAAACAAATGCAAAGAGAACAGGAGGGAATACTGCTGGAAATGAAGGTGGAAAAGAGTAGGAGCCAGACCACTGAGAGCCTCCTAGACCCCATCAACTCTTCTGGTCTTTATTTTACAAGTAAGGGTCACGATTAGAAAAGGATCCCTTGTTTATATACTGGACAACAGAGCGAAAGGCGGCAGGCGGTGCTGGATACAGGGATGCCAGGCAGAAGGCTGTGGCAAGAACTCACGTAAGGGGGCAGAACTCGGGCTCAGGTGAGCGACGAAGAAAGAAAGAAGGGGCTAGGCAACAGGTAACAGGATGTTAAACTCAACAAAGTTTGTGGACAAATGTAATGAATATGGGGGTAAGACAAAGGGGCTATCAAGGACGATTTCTAGATTTCTGCCCTGCATGTGGAGACTGGCAGTGGTGCGGTTTACTGAGAATGTCAAGGAGAGGATGGGGAATTCGTGTATGCCTGTCTCCCCCCACCAGCCTGTCTTCCCCCTCCCCAGCTCGAGGAGAGCCACTCAGTGGATTTTGAAATACTAACAAACCAATGAGTGCACACCCTGCGAGGAACCCTATCTAAATGATTTCCTTATGGGGGTCCATTTTCTGAAAAATTCTAGCTAAGCAACAGAAGAGTTTTCATGAAAACAACTCTAAAACTTAGCTAAAGGCAAGTGACGACCACACATTCCAGTTCAGAAGGCACATTTCACAGAAGCACAGGACAAAATACTAAGCACAGTACCCCCAAAACACCACAGGGCTGTCAAGTGTCACATGCTGGATTTCTGCCTCCAGCACTACACCTCTCTCCCCAAACTATCTTCTCTCCCGCACTAAATAATCAAGTTGATGGCATTCTCTCATAAAACTGTTAAAACACCAATCATTTTACTTTCATGTTTAAATGCCCTTTTGTTCTCTAAACAGATACACTTACCTTCTGAGACCACTTTCTAGGAATGACAATATCAAAGCTAAAAGGAAATGGTGCTAATATAGTTCCAGTCCCTTTTATCTTACAGAAAAGGAGAATGACCCTAAGAAGTAAGGAAGTGACTTGTTTGGTGACAGAACTGAATGGGACTCAAACCCTGAGGATCCAATCCCTCTCCCCCCTCCACCTCCCACACGCTGCCAAGGCAGGTTTTTCCAACATAAAAATATTTTATTTATTTGACACCTCTGAACATTTCTAATCATTTTAGCAAATGGCTGGAGGACTGGAAATTAAAAGTTCACTGAACTGCAGCTCATCTTCCAGCTGCAATACAGCCCGTGTGGAGCACTGAGGGCGGGACCCACACAGAGGAGCAGAACGAAGGAGGATGAGAGACAAAAGGTCCAAAACCCGTTACTGCTGTGGCGACATTTCCTACCTCATCTACCACCAAAAGGTGCACAAACCGTTCAACTTCCCCCAAAGCCAGAGCAAGGAAAAAGGAGAGGAGAAAGAACCTCAAATCAATTTTTGCTCATTAGTTTTACTCATTAACTTCAGGAAGGGCTGGGTGAAGTGGCAGGAAGAAAAGACATGTTTGCCTGGCCAGACAACTTAGGCTACTTACCTCTGGATAGCCCTCACATCCAACAATTAACTTCTCCATTCCACTCCCTCAGTTTCAACGATCTCTTACATGCGGATTGCTCTTGGCATGGACTGTATGTAGCTCTAACTTCCTTTCTGAGCTCCATACCCTGACTGCCCACCAGCCATCCTATTCCCTGTGGATGTTCTCCACCAAACCAATCTTCTGTACTCTCCCTCTCTGCCCTTCATCCTCATTAATGGTCTCACTTCAAGCTCTCAAGCAAACTCTTCCCTTGTCCCTCACCACCTACCTGTATCTCAACAAACCCTATTTAGTTTACCCCCACAATGACCCCTTACCCATCCCCACTGGCCCAAGGCCTCATCCTCTCCCTTGGACTATGGCTTCTGTATTGTTCTCCCTGCTTCCGGGCAGGAGCTGTCCCCCTCATCATTTCGAGGTTCAACTCCCCCACAACTGGGATACAATTTGTGTGTCAATTCTCTGCTCAAATCCTTCCAAGGGCCCCTTGCTTTCTCTTTCTTCACAATAAGGCCACACTCCCTAGCCCCAAGCTACTGTCTACCCTAATGTTCATGACCTGCTGCCGTCACCAGGCTGCTCACTAATCCTGGCACTTCCACAACTAAAGTCAAAGTAATTAGAAGGAAAAACTGCAGGTAGAGAGAGCACCATTACAATGAGACCAATGTGAATCATTTTGGGCTCTTCCCATTACTGCCTTAATTTAATTGATTGAATTTCGTTAATTTAATTATGGCCTGACTTCTTTCACAGTTGATGGTATCTTTTTCCCCAAGCCAGGCTACAAGTACTGTAATAAAGGTAAATCACAGCACCATGGGAACCCAAAGGAAGATGTAATTAAATGAATTCTCATCAGAGCACACAGCTACATAAACTAATTCCATAGTATGACAAGCAGATAAGAAGACAGAATTAAGTCACACATCAGGACACAGAATATCCCAAACAAACTTCTCACACCGACAATCACTAAAATGGTTTCTGCATCAATGATCACTATAAATCTTAACATATTATCAGTTTACTTCTCTGTCTTCAAAATTAGAACACATCAGTCTTCTCCCAGGCTGACTCTCAGGGGGGCCATCAGAGCCTATTGCTCCCACTGTGAGCTCCGGAAACATAGAGACAAAGTGCCTTTCAGTGGTGAGGTGCCAAGCTGTTCACCATTTCTTTGGTATTGTAGGGGCCTCAAAAACAAGGGACCACCTGCACGCCGTGCTAACCAAATATTCATTAAAATTATCTGCCATATTTAAAAAATGTAAGTAATAACCCCAAGGAGATTCATTCCAAAGAACTATTTTGCTCAGATAACTTATCAGAGATCAGAGGATAAAGGGCTTTCTGATTGAGCAAGCATCTGGAGGATGAGGGGGAAGAAGAAAGAAGAGTAGAGCAAAAGTCTTAAATACTTTAAGAGCAGACAGACATTAAATGGAAAAACAATATGCGTGACCCCATGCAATTTCTCTCTACCTTAATTTCCTTGGCTGTAAAACAGGTTTTAAAACAGCTATGATGATTGTACCATATGAAGAGTTAACGTCTTCTGTGGTAATAGAATACCTCGGGGCAAAGGGGCTGGGAGAGAAAGCCTCCAGGACAGAAGAGGGCCAAAATGGAAAGTAGAAAGCCACTGAGAACAAAATCCCCTCAACCAGGAAGTGCTGTTAGAATCCTGAGGCTGGCCTCACTAAACTGTAACTAAATTGTAATCCCTTTCCCACAAATCTTCTGAAAAAGATTAAAATGGATTCTGTATTCCCTCCTAGACATCCCAGAAGGACTGTTTTATTTGCTGGTATTTTATTCAACCACTAACGCTTTTCTTTCCAATTTTCCTGAACATGTGAAAAGCAAAATGACAGTCAACACAAAGTTAAGATTTTACTCTAAACAACTTCTTACTCCCATGTGGATTTCTTCTGCAACCAAATCAAAGGTTCACTGGCACCAGAATGAGAGAAATGAAAATAATTCACTTCTTATTTCCTTTAGGATTTCTTTTCCACACCTCCTAAGCCACCTTTTGTCATTCTTTGTCCTGATTCACTGGTCCAAATATGGTAAGATGACTGTGGGAAGCCGTGACCCTTGGTTGTTTTCTGTTCTACTGTTTGTTTTCATGAGCCTAACGTAACAGTAAGATGCTCCACTCTAGCCTGAGTTCTAATGCTCGGTTCCAAAAGAACATTTATTTGGAATAAATACAATTTATATAAGTAGTTGGCTTAAGTGTAAAGCCCTAAATCACTAAAC